GACAAGGTCAAAAATTGTTTAAAAAATAGCATAGTGTTTTTCAACATTTTTTTTCGTTTACTGCTTTCTTTAAAGTAAAAAAAATCTTGTCAATATCTTCCGTTAGGTAATTTTTTGTTTTGTTAATTTTTCAGTTTTTTTTTTTTAATCTCTACCTGTTTCAGTCAAGCATAGATAAAAGTTAAATAATTTGACCAGCTAAATATAACACTGAACAAATTTTCTGATGAAAACCAGGCATTAAACATCAAAAGTACTGCAGATATAACGATAGTTAACCAATACACTGAGTGAATTATTTTTTTTTAAAGTATATTTAAGCTGTAATGTTAGATTTAAGTTTAAACTTTAATAGAAATCATATACAATTTTCAGACAAAATTTTATGATTATTAAAAGTTTAGGTACAAAAAAAAAATTTTTTTTTTTTGTGGTCAAATTTTTTACTGTAACTGTTGTTCAACACTTTTTTGTTTGCTCAGTTTTACAGAAATTACTGCTAAATTTACAGTCAGTTTACTGCAGTTTTTACAAAGTATTTTTGATATTAGCACAGATTCTCCCACTTAGAGAGGAAACTGTCACACTAAATATTTCCATTCATTTTTTGTTTTAATTTTTAAAAAAAATCTTTTTTTTTTCGTTTTTTTACACTGAAAAAATTAAATTTTGATGGCTTTTCTGGAACAGTTTTGAGCAAAACTAAAGTATCTATCTGATTTTCACACAAAAGTTATGCAGCAATCAGTATTCCAACTAAGTATAACTGTCAAAATTCACAAGCAGTTTAATTGTCCGATTTAGTTAATTAGTTATAAAATGTAGAATTTTTTGTTTTGAGCTTTGTTTAATGCAGTTTTATTCTGAAAGTGCAAAACATATAAAGCTACATTTGGGAAGCTCTCTTATTCATTATTATTATTATTATTATTATTATTATTATTAATTATCAATGATATTATAATAACAGTAATACCAATAACTAATACCATTATTATTATTATTATTATTATTATTATTATTATTATATCAATGATATTATAATAACAGTAATACCAATAACTAATACTTATTATTATTATTATTATTATTATTATTATTATTATTTATTTGCCTTTTTTTATGTTCTTGAGAATAAGCTGTAAAGAACAGATATTGAATGAATAGATTTTTTTTTTGCTATTGTGGAAAGCATTATATTAGTTGGTTGCTTATGTTTTTTTTTTTTTGTTTTATGATCCCCAATTTTAAAGATAAGAATTCATAAATTACCCTAAGCGGTAAAAAAAATTTTTTCTGGTTAAGTTTCTTTTTTTTTTCTTTTGTAATATATAAAACATAAAAGTACAACGATTATATTCCAAAAGTTTTTTGCTTTTTTGTAAAACTAAGGCAGAACAAATGTTTCTTCTTCCAATAACTATTTAAATACTGTAAAGAACGGTAGTCATTGTGAATTGCAAGCTGCTTCAGAAGTATCCCAGTTGACAGTACAGATCTGTTTGTTCACCATTTCTAAGATAACAGAATATACATCTGGAAGTAAAGCAAAAAAAAAAAAAAAA